AAGGAAGAAGAGGAAGAAGAGGAAGAAGAGGAAGAAGAAGAATTGAAAAAGAAAAGAAGCATGGTGGGAGGGGGCGGACGAGATTACTACTGCACGAAACGGTTCTCTCCATCTTTCATTCTCTCCCTCTAACTCACTCAGTCTCTAACTCTCTCTCCCTCTCTCTCACTCTCTCTCACTCACTCAATCAACCAATCAATCAATCAACCTATCAATCAGTCGACTGGATAAACCGATTGATTGGTTGATTGATTGAATGATAAAAATCAATTGGGGGGCTCGGACCCGAGGGTCTGCGCTAGGCTAAGTAGGGAAGCTCGACGCTCGGCTCGAGGGTTTCTAATTAAAATAAAAAAGCGTAAGAAAAACTAAAAAAAATTGTGTGGTGGTTTGCCACGTGGAAAGTTCCCACGTGATAGTTGCGCGCATTACAACAGGAGGAAGAAGAAGAAGAAGAAGAAAAAAAAAAAAAAAAAAAAAAAAAAAAAAAAAAAAAAAAAAAAAAAAAAGGAAGAAAGGAAAAGAAAAGGAAAAAAAAGCACGACCATTGCCACGTGGCAAATGTGACGAGGAGCGGGAAAAAGTCAATTGGTTGCGCGATGAAGAAAAAAAAGAGAAAAGAAAAAAAAAGAATATCGCCATGAAGAGGAAGAGGAAGAAGAAGAGGAAGAGGAAAAGAGGAAGAAGATGAGGAAAAGATGAAGAAGAAGAGGAAAAAGAAGAAGAAGAAGAGGAAAAAGAAGAAGAAGAAGAGGAAGAAGAAGAAGAGGAAGAAAAAGAATTGTGTAACAGGGGCCAACTGCCTCTCGTACACACTCGTATCAATCCCAACTATCGCGCATGTTCCTCGACGCGTTTTGATCGGTTGCGCTCCGATCATCCTCAAGGGGCTTTCCTCATGACCGTTCCTTGCGACCCACCGACAGAAGAAGAAGAAGAACAACAACAAAAGATTAAAAAGAAGAAGAAGATGAAGAAGACAAAGAGAAAGAAGAATAAGAAGCGAAGAGGAATAAGAAGGGAAGAAGAAGAAGAGGAATAAGAAGGGATTCCGAAGAGAAAGAAGAATAATAAGAAGAAGAGGAATAAGAATGGAAGAAGAAGAAGAAGAAGAAGAAGAAGAAGAAGAAGAAGGAGGAGGAGCAATAAGAACCGGGGAAGAATGGAAGAAGAAGAATAGTCGAAACAGTGGCCAATTGCCTTTCGCACACGCTTCGAATGTTAATCAATACATAACAGCGCATACTCATCTCAGCACATGCGCACATTCCCCGACGTGTTTCAATCGGCTGCGCTCCGATCATCCTCAAGGGGCTCTCCACATACCCTCGCCTTACGGCCCACCGACTATCCTCCCTAGCTTCTGAGAACTGAGGGCCGATGAGGCCTTGCCCTCCTATATATTGTGCACCGAGTAGGAGGCTACGCCAACACGACACTTATTCCCTGACGGGCAATTCCACGAGTGACTACAACTACGATGAACTGGAAACTAGTCGTTGCATCAAACCTGCGCAAATCCGTTACGTGTCGGCCCCCCAACGGGCGTCAGATAGTCAGTCGACGTAAGTCCTAGATTATTGACACAATGGCTATTTCTACAAGCCCGCTTTCACCACACGTTCACGTGTTCAAGTACTATGCAAAGGCTAGCTGCTCCTTTCTTCCGATAGTCCATCCAACGATCACATTCCTCTTTCAAACATCCATTCACTTTCTCGCTTTCCATTGGGCTGCTGCGTGCAACTCGGATTCCGGCTACGATCCCTAACCTTGCCGCCCTTTAATCATTCTAATTTCCCATTGGTCTACGTCTGCAATCGTGGATCCTTGCTGTAATTCCTAATACGTGGCCCCGCAGTCTAGTCAGTTACAACGTGTCGAACATGACCTATACAAGTTCAAAATACGGCGCGTTGTACGCCCTTTTCTCGCCCCTTTTTTTGAAAATCGAGCGGGCAGCCCGGTAGTACCGCGACCTAGACAACTGTAAGTTATCATGGTACTGCCACATAATTTCCTACGCCCTAACGATGCAGATACGCCGGTAGTCCCCCCTTTTTTTTCAAAAATTATTTGTGGACAAAAAATCATTTGCGAACAAAATATCATTTGCGAACAAAAAATCAGGCTACAAAAAAATCCAAAAAACTCCGCATCGTAAATTATTTCCACCAGTACGAAGAAATCCTATTTGCTACGGAAATAACCGCGTACTGGCGAGTACCCTACTGTACCGTAACCGGGACTAATCCGCCGTAAGTACGGCTCCAATCTAGCGCAGAAAATCCGCCCAACGGGATTTGGCCGTGCGCTGTTGTCCTATAGTACTAGGTTCTCAAGCAGCCTTAGCCAAGGCTCCTTGAGAACGCTGGTGCCCTAAGCAAAGCGTGTTAGGGCGCTGAAGAAGAACGTCGGGGGGTAACCCCAGCGTAGGAGCTCGTATTTCAGAGCCAAAACTGGTAAGAGCAAGGTACTCTCGCTGTTTGCCATCTGCTGAATACGGTGTAAACATCCGATTATCGCTCCCAGTTTCGCTCGCTTGTCCGAGTAAGAACTAAAATCCTGAAAGCAGCGGTGGACAAGACGCTGCTGCACTTCCCCCATCTGGACACTCAAGCCGTTCTTGGTCTTTGGTTCAAGCAGGAACAAGGTCTTCCCAGGTACTGCCGTGAGCTTCGATCCAACAAACTCGATGGTGTTAGATCCGTCATCCATGCGGACCACCGGGACCAGGGATAGCTTATCACCATAACAACTCCCAAACTTCGTTAGTATCTCCACCGCCCTGCTGATGGACTCTTCCTTTCTTCGATTGCAGACAACTGCCAACATCGCATCATCCATGAATCTCACCCCATGGACGAGTTTCCGATCGCTGCCCAGTGATCTTTGAAACCCGTCTTCATACCTTGCACAAAGTAGGCAGGCCAGCGGGGGACTGGAGTTCTTCTCCATTGGCACTCCTATGACCTGCCTCAGCAGCTTTCCTCTACATGTAGTGTAGGTGTGCTGCAGCTCGAAGGATACAAAACTCTGGATGTAACTGAAGGAAAACTTGACGTGGCCTTTCCCGAACGTTTTCAACCCAAGCGTGACTTGCTTTCTTCTCTTGCAAACTGTGATCTTCTGGTATCCTTTCTTCTCCCATTCTCCCAGTAGCCATGAAAGTGCCTCCATGATGGCTGAGTGCAGGAGGGATGTGAACATTTCCTTAATGTCAAACCCCCCACAGATAGTCATCGTGTCCTTGCCATACTGCTGAAGCTTCTTTTCTGCTTTCTTCAGATTCTGCTTAAGCAAGGCTGTCGCAGTGAGATTGAAATGCTCCACTCCAGGGAGCTTCTCCAACAGAAAATTGAGTGCTCTAGCAATCCATCTGCTGCCGGTCATAGTAGGTTCACTGCATGCTGGAGCGATGGGCCGCCATCTTTTGAGATCTTTGTGCTTGGGCAGAAAGTACGATTGACCAATCCTCCCCTTCAAGTTCCAGTTAACTAGCTTGTGCAGGCCACGATCTACGAAGTCCTTCATCACCTTCAGAATCTCCGCTTCGCTGCTACTGACTTCGTCATAGGCAAGGCTCCAGGAGAACAGTTTATCTAGTCCATGCTGATATGTCGAAGGACACATCAGCACAAGGTCTCCCGCATTCCTGTCAACTTGTGTGATTAACAGGTCTCCGAACTTCTTTTTAACTGAGTAGACTAGTCGTTCGTCCGTGTCGCAGTGCTTGCTTCGCTCTGATGAAAAACAACCATCGATTTGGAGATTCATTACTTGCTCCCCCGTTTTTTCGCCCAGTACAACTATGAGTGCCAGTCATATGTTGTTGCTGACCTCATCTTCTGTCGTCTCGATCCTCGGGCGAACCACATTCTTCCCATTCAGCAACAGTGATGGCAGCTCCGTGACATCTCCTATCCTTGTGAGGACGTGTCCCTTGACGATGGGTAAGTCATACTGCTTGCATGTACATTGCAACTTCGGCTTCTTGCTAAGCTGCTTGTAGTTGCAGAGAATCTCTGCTACATTTCTGTTCCTTCTCCAGACTACTCTCGCCTTCCTTTTGAATATCCCCGCGATCGCGGGGTGTAAACCACAGCTCTCGATCTGGGTGATCAGGACGTTCCTGATGCCACTCTTCTTAACTTCTTTACTGTATCTGACCCGGACTGTAACACGGTTCCGAATGTTCACCCCAACTTTTCTGCCAACTGCTTTTTCTAGGAAGTCCTTGATCATCCTCCTTTTTTCCTTCTCCTTAAATGTCGCCGCACAGTTATAGAGGTGCATGAGTTTATCCACAGGCAAAAGGGCAAGTTCCTTCCGTTTCAAGGGCATCTCTAGGAGCTGTCGTAGGTACCCTTTCCCTCTGTCCCTGGCATTCTGCGTGATAACGATGGGGGAAATCCAAAATTTCCCCCCTTCCTCTAGCCAGGTTTTTGAGTGGGACAGTGCTATCTTCCCTACCTGTGCTACCACGATCGATGTCCCGAACAGTCTCTTAATTAACGACCAGTCTTCCCCCCAGATTTTGCCACCCTCGCTGACAACCTGGATCTGCTTCTTCCCCTCCCTATAAGTTGCATCAAGAATCATCCGGAGGCTAGTGCTACCAAGCGAACTACTACCCGTTCAGAATATGATAATACGTGTCCGCTTCTCTCCTACCTGCTCCATGTCTCTGCCTATCCTCGCTCTCCTTTCCCTCCTTCCTAGTCTTTTCTTAGGATTCCCCTTCGTCCACGTACCTATCGTGTTAAGTGACGGAGAGAAGCTTCGGATGCGCGTTTTTTCTAGGCTCCCCAACCCACAGACTTCCGAGGTAGCGACGGGAATAACGACATAGTTATTCCAGTTAAATTTCCTGAGACATTTATACAGCACCGGCGATCTACCATCTGTCCCTGATTCGGCGCATCTGACATGCTCCCACCATCTTTCCGCAGCACCTCTAATGGACCTACCGATATAAGCTTTCTTACACCAGGGCGAGACGAGACAGTATACGACTGGTTGCTTGAAGTACCAGCTCCAACACCGCGGTGCTAGGTTCAGGAACTTCCTTACCCACGGGATATGGCCCATTATTGCCAGCAGTACCGCACAAGCAGTTGTAGCTTTCTCAGTTAACAGCCTGAGCTTCGAAATTCCCGTGTGCCCCCAGATTGTCGCCCTCAACGATAAGAGGGTGACAATGTAAGCCCATATGAGCTTTGGCGGGGGCGCAAACCGTCATTGGTCCTGAATGTCCCAAGCCTTGTCCAACATCTCGACATCTTCGCCCCATGCTGCTATGTTGAGCAGCTCACGTACACCTTGCTCTTTAGAGATATAGGTAATATCTCTCGCCTCGCAAAGTTTCTTCACTTCTCGCTAATCTTTCGCCATCAGCTTGGACCTAGTATCGAGGATATTATTCACCATGTTCCCATTACTGCACAATGCTGGGTTCTCTTTCCCTGGGGAGCCGTTCTTCATCGGCGTGCTGGTCTTCCGTCTCAGGCTCTTCTCGTAGTCCGCTCTTGACATGACTCGTGCTTCTTCTTCCAAGTCGTTCGGTGCTATGTAATTCCTCGCTATTCGCTTCCCTCTTGCTCTCTTCGGCGGTATTTTCGACTCATCATCCATCAGAACCTCTTCCTTCGTAAGGTAAGTATCAAGTCCGTTCGCAAACGCCTCTCTATCCCGTTTCGGGGTCTTGGAGTTTACAGCTAGCACCATCTGGATTTCCGTTCTTATTTCAGCTCGGAAGTTCCATAGGTCCCTTGATACTGCAGCAATCGTTCTCAGCTCCGCCTCCTCAATTTTCTTCTCTCTCTGGTCGCACTCCTCCAGGATCATCCTTCGAATCCTCTCATCCCGATTCTCCTCTTCCATTTGTTGCTTTCTGCGTTCAGCTTCCATCCTTCTTCTCTCCTCTTCCGCCTTCTTGTTCTCCTCTTTCTCCATTTCCTTCTGCATCTTGTAATCTGCCCATCTCACTACTCGATTCATACAATCTTCATTCTCCTTCCTTGACTGCCAGTACTTCGCGTTGTTAGTGAAGGCGCCTTGCCCCCTGCCCACTGGGCAGTCTCTCGCCATGTGGCCAACTTGGTTGCAGTTGAAGCAAATGATTGGACTTCTTGCTCCGCCGGCTCCGGTCCTTGCGTTACCCAACGACGCCATGCTATACTTCCCGAAGTATAGTGGCTGGTAATCGGATCTCTCTTAGTATCTGCAACTCCGCAAACGCTTGCCACTGAGGAACCTTGGTGCACCTATCTCACTGTAACCCTTGCCTTGCCGTTGCCTGCAACCTTGCTAGAACAAGCTCGTGAAAACCTTGCGCGACAACTAGTCGTCGGCACAGCCACCAGTGTGAGTATCTCCTCTCATCCAGTTACCATGCTACACAGAATAGTGGAAACAGTGGCCAACTGCCTTTCGCACACGCTTGGAATGTTCATCAATACATAACAGCGCATACTCATCTCAGCACACACGCACATTCCCCGACGCGTTTCGATAGGCTGCGCTCCGATCATCCTCAGGGGGCTCTCCACATACCCTCGCCTTACGGCCCACCAACTATCCTCCCTAGCTTCTGAGAACTGAGGGCCGATCAGGCCTTGCCCTCCTATATACTGTGCACCACGTAGGAGGCTACGCCAGCACGACACTTACTCCCTGACGGGCACTTCCACGAGCGACTACGGCTACGACGGACTGGAAACTAGTCGTTGCATCAAACCCGCGAAAATCCGTTATGTGTCGGCCCCCCAACGGGCGTCAGATAGTCAGTCCACGTAAGTCCTAGATTATTGACACAATGGCTATTTCTACAAGCCCGCTTTCACCGCATGATCACATTCCTCTTTCAAACATCCATTCACTTTCTCGCTTTCCATTGGGCTGCTGCGTGCAGCTCGGATTCCGACTACGATCCCTAACCTTGCCGCCCTTTAATCATTCTAATTTCCCATTGGTCTACGTCTGCAATCGCGGATCCTTGCTGTAATTCCTAATACGTGGCCCCGCAGTCTAGTCAGTTACAACGTGTCGAACGTGACCTGTACAAGTTCAAAATACGGCACGCTGTACACCCTTTTCCCGCACTTTTTTTTGAAAATCGAGCGGGCAGCCCGATAGTACCGCGACCTAGACAACTGTAAGCTATCGTGGTACTGCCACGTAATTTCCTACGTCCTAACGATGCAGATACGCCGGTAGTCCCCCCTTTTTTTTCAAAAATGATTTGTGGACAAAAAATCATTTGCGAACAAAATATCATTTGCGAACAAAATATCATTTGCGAACAAAATATCATTTGCGAACAAAAAATCAGGCTACAAAAAAATCCAAAAATCTCCGCATCGTAAATTATTTCCACTAGTACGAAGAAATCCTATTTGGTACGGAAATAACTGCCTATTGGCGAGTACCCTACCGTATCGTAACCGGGACTAATCCGCCGTAAGTACGGCTCCAATCTAGCGCCGAATCCGCCCCACGGGATTTGGCCGTGCGCTATTGTCCCATAGTACCAGGTTCTCAAGCAGCCTTAGCCAAGGCTCCCTGAGAACGCTAGTGCCCTTAGTAAAGCGTGCTAGGGCGCTGAAAAAGAAGAAGAAGAAGAAGAAGAAGAAGAAGAAAACAAAAAAAACCGTCGATGAAGAGCGGAGTTCGAGAAGGAGGAAGAGGAACCTACTAGCGGAAGCCATATCCTCCTCTTTATCGGTCCTGAACTTCCTTCGCTGCCACTCCACACTGCTCCCGGACAGCAAGAGCGTCGCCGCTCCACACTGCTCGCTTCCCTCTCTCTCTCTCTCTCTCTCTCTCTCTCTCTCTCTCTCTCTCTCTCTCTCTCTCTCTCTCTCTCTCTCTCTCTCTCTCTCTCT